ACCTCCACCACCAGCTGCTTCCCAGTGCCAGCCCCGCCCCGGGTGACACGGCTGTCACGGTGCCCACCACCTCCCAGCCGCTGACCTCTCGCGCCTTCTTGCTCTGGGGGCTGAAGCAGCCCACCAGCTCCCCTGTCACCATGCCGCTGGTGTTCCTCCTGTGGCCTTCCAGGCGCTGGAGGGAGGACGGCGGCATTTCGTCGTACAGGCGGTAGGAGAGGTTGCGCAGGACGCAGACGGCGTTCTCCACGCTCTGGTGGGGGGAGACGGGACGTGTCAGCCCTCGTGCCGCCTGCCAGGGCATCTCCAGCTGGCACGTCCCCTGGGGTGCGATCCCACGGGGCTCCGTGGCCAGAGTCACCCCGATGGCACCAGCGGTGCCCCACCGTGCCCCGTAAGCCCAGACAGAGCCAGGCTGGTTTCCCACCATCGCATCAAGATGTGTCTTTGCACCGTGATGGCCAGGAGGGAGGAGGGGAGCAGCACCCCGTCTGAGGGCACCCAAACCCTCCCCGTACCCAGCTCCTGGGGCTCACCTTGTCCTCCGACTTGCCCACTTCCAGGGAGCTGTTCACGTAGTGGATCATGGAGTCCACCAGCCCGTGGCACTCGCGCATCTTCTGCCGAGTCTGCTGGCTGGCAGAGCTGAGATTCCTGCATGGGGAACATGGGTCCACCACGGTGAGAAGGGGCCTCCCCACGGCCACCCCCCTCCTGCCACTGGGCACCACCACGGGGAGGGCAGCTAATACCTCTCCCATGGGGCTGACCAGGCTTTGCCTTGATGGACGAGGGCTGCAAGGGATGGGGACCCCAGAAACGAGCCCTAGAGACCTTGCTCCCTGCGTACACAGCACAGATGGCGTCTCTTCCTCCACCCAAAACTTTACCCGCAGCAGGAGGACTGAAGCCAGACCAGAGCAGGTACCTGAGGAAGCCTGTGGAGTTGTAGAAGATCTCCGCCTCCGAGGGGTTCTGCTGGATGACACCCGAGCCCCCCAGCCCAGAGAGGGGGACCAGGACCAGGTCCGTGAGCTGCTCCAGCGTGTCCCGGGCCAGGCGATCCTTCAGGTTGTCACTGGAGGAGAGATTCCACAGGATCCCTGCGCGGAGGGGGATCCTCAGTCCTGGAGAGCACGTCCACCCCGACTCACCTCCCCAGGGGGCTCGCGCCGACCACCCGCAGCCAGGAGTAGCCATGGGACGGGGCGGGGAATGATG